ATAGCTCTTCCTACTTAAAGACTACCACAGTTAGATCTTCCATGTCCTCTCAGTCTCTGACTCCTGACATTTCACCTGCAAAGAGTGCTCTAGGTTCCAAACTAAGCCCTGTATTGACTGATGGCAGTAGTCCTTTACCGCAGCTGAGCCCTGCAAGGCAGTATAACAACCCTATTGGCCTTTACTCAGCAGAGACTCTAAGGGAAATGGCTGAGATGCATAAATTAAGTCTCAACCGAAGGGCTTCGGAAGGTGGACTTCCTAGAGGGTAGGTAACATGGTAAAATATCTAATATTTCAATAAGTAATGAATTTGCTGAAAAACGAATGTAATAGTACCTACCCTATTGTGCATTTGTCTGGTAATCATGATTAAGGCCTGGAGTTTTCCAGTACCCCTCAAAACATATACACAGTACCGTTACAGTATAACTCTTGGTCTTTGCTATCTGAGCTGCAATATGGATTGGCGATAGTCACCAGAGCATGAGGAGGAACACTATGACTGAAGTAACGGGGATCATCTCGGGGCTCTGGCATTTAGCGATTTAAACCAGTGCGTGTAGTCTCATAGAACCAAGTATCACTGTCGGCTGTTATAGAAGCTGCTGTGAAACGGATCTGATCTTTGGTGCTTTCCTAAAGAGAAATTGATTTGACCAGCAAATCTGACATGCCAGTCTACTGGAGTGCCCTGCTGTAATTCCTGCCTTAACGTATTGGCTTTCCTATGCAAAATGAGTCAAAATTGCAATATTTTCAGTCCTGTGGTTTGAACATCCTGTCTCGCATCTGTTAGCTTTGCTCTTCAGTTGTATATAACCAGGATCCCTTAGTTTGATCCCATGCTGTCAAGGTTTTCAGTGTTACTGCATTGCAGATCAATTATTTTATTAGTAGGTTTGGGAAGTGAGGAGCTTGGACTACAATACATGAGGAAAAGCAATGAAAAACAGGTTTACCTATTTTTTTTGCCATTGTGTAATAATTTGCAAACAAATGTCCAATTTGTTTATTTGTGTTTATTTGAATTGAAGATAGATTTCCTATTACGAATGTGGGAAAAAGTGTACTTTTGACACTAGGGAGTTGGCTATATGAGGAAAACCAGAAAAGTCAGGCAATCTGCTTGAGGTCTGATAGCAAATGCATGTTTTCAAGTACTTTGTATCCCATTGCAGAAGCTCTTTGCAAGTGTAAAGCCAAGGGTTTTTAAGTTGTCACAAAGTAAAGATATTCTATCCTTATATAAGAGCATATATACATGTTCTAGATGATTCAAGCAGTTCAGATGATTCACTGTAACTCTCTTAAGCACTCAGCATTAACAATCCTAATTCACTTATCTGAAAAAATCCTATCCTCCCTTCCCATACTGGATAATTAAGAACGGCAATTAGTGTTTAAAAGAAAATAATTTCAGTTAGTAAGCAAGGTCAGCAAAATAAACCTCAGAATGCTTCTCTCTTAATTTACAGTCTTCTTGAGGGAAGCTAATCCTTATCTTATTTCAATATGCAGCATTTCCTGGGAGTATATCTCACAATCTTTCTCCCACTGTCTTCACAACCCTCCTTAACATCTGCAAGGGTGAAGGTGAAGGGGCTGTATTTTGGGTAGCTCAGCATTCTGACTGTTGCTTTGTTATCAAAATTACAACACAGCTGCATCCATCACTCACCAAAGTCAATGTGAACCTTTCTGTTGATTCCAGAGGGCATTGCGACATGACTACATCACATGACAATGATTGTTGGGCTGGAAAGAAGGTGCACCTGCAGAAAGCAGTCCACTGTCTTCACTCTCCTGCTTTTCCATGCTTTATGTCTCCTTTATATGCACAGATGTTAGTGCACGCCAGTGGCAGCACACTGAATGGCAAAGCAAAGGTTCTACCTTAAAATTTATTTTTTTTAGTTTGAACAAAATTTTAGGGAATTGCTGTCTATCTGCCTGTAATATCTGTAGCACTGATGAACAAATAAGATTTATGAGGAATCATCTAAATGTCCTGTTAAAAAAATTCAGCCTTTATCCTGCAGCCCAGGAACAATCTGAAGAGATGAAAGAGCCCAGAAGTATTAAGTGCATGTGTCTTTTCAGGTAATTCTGAAGATTTAGAGAATTGTACGTCTCTCTTTACATGCAGAGAAAATTCAGAGTTTAATAATTCTGTCATTCCCACTCCCAGTTCCGTGTTACTCAGGAAGTGAGAGGCATCTTTCCTACTGCTCTGTGGAGAGTAACACGGAACCTGTAACTACCTTGGGACTTGGTATCATCCATGATAGTCTCGATTTCACTGTTGGATATATGTGACAGAGCGCACAAGGAAAGTGCTGTGAGCTCTGCAAAATCAGCTCTGGACTTTGTTGTGGACATTTTTATCATATAGTACAACATGAGATGCTGCATAAAGATTGTGAAATGGTGCTCCAAAACTGTGAATTTATTATGCATTCCTGAACATGCACTTAGCAGTACAGTAAAAACTGTAAGAAAATTCAGGTTTGGGGGTTGATCTTAAGGTATATTTCATATTTCAATTTGGTGTCCTTTTCACCAAATCATTTAAACTTAATTGTGGTAATTGCTAAGCCCTTTGGAAAATCCTATCTGAAAGCTAAAATAAATTTTGAGATTATTTCCTTGATCTACAAAGAATAACAAAGCATCTGTCTCTCTGATACACTTTTACATGAAAGCTTTATCGTCCTGGACCATGGTGAAAAATAGAGGTGGTCTGTTAAGAGTGTGGCACCTCTTTCACGTGCTGAAAGCTCTGGAAAGGGGAATATTAATAAATAAGAAGAGTGAGTCATAGCTTGTAAGGTGGTTCTTTTCCATTCCATTGTAAGTTATTTTTCACATTGTAGGTCAAGGGCAGTAAATACCCGTCCCACAAGTACGTGCCGGGTGGCTTGGGTTACTAGCTCCTTACTCTGTGACTGCTGAGAGCACGTTAGGTGTTTCATACATGTCCATATTAAAAGCAAGGTAAAATAATGTGTGCTCTGAACTGGAGAGAATTTTCCCATCATGTACTAAACATAAGGGGAAGTAAAGCTTTAGTCTTTTTGCGGGAAGCTATAGTAGCCTCTTCACATCTAAAAAATCTTTACTGAGACGTGGCTGTTGAGCTCTTTTAAGTGCGTGCGCACAATGATTTTTATCTTTGAACATATTCTTCTATGCAAACAAGTGGTTCCTCTAATGAAGGTGTACTTTAGCGACAAGTAGTTCTGCCTTTGAAATATTACTTTATGCGTAAGTCAGAGGCCTGGGTTAGAAGATTAAAGCGGGCATCAGAGTCCACTTCAGAAAATGAGACTATTACACCATGTTTTGTTGTAAACGAGTGCCCAGCTGTCCTGCACATACCTAAAATAGATATAGGATCACTGGTGTGCTTACAGGCTACAGCTTGTTCCTAATATATCCCTACCGGTTCCTGTAACAGACCGATCTATTTGGCTTAATGTAGGGTTTATAAAGTTAGAAGAACATTCTCGAATCTGAAAGCCTGAAGAGCAGTAACTGCGAAGGTGATCTGTGATTGCTTTTCCATGAAAATGCAGAAGTGCAAAGCCTTTACCGCAGCTTTGGCTCATTAGAGTGGTTTTGATCACGAAAAAGGCAGCTGGATCAGCCAGTGCAAAAGGACTGTGTGTAAAAAGCATCAGCGATGTCAAAGGTTCTGCAAGGCAAAAGCAGGAGGAGGCAAATCCGCTTTGAACGTCACGCTAACAGTGTAACATTGCTGTCCGGTATTTTGAATCAGTCCCAGATCTAGCAATGTGTCAGCAGCAAGTTGGAAGGTTCAATGCCCAGTTCTGTCAACAGCATTCTGTGCAGCTACAGAAGAAGAGATGTTTATGAACTGATCCTGGACTCTCTTCCTTTTTATTTTGCACAAAACGCGATGAATTACTCTTCACCCAAGAATGTGAGACCAAAATATGGGTATTCTAAACTTTGAAAAAATTAAGTTAAAATACATGTCATAGCCCATTAATGCTATTCGTGCAGCCAACAGAAAGAGTTATTAGCAAATAATATAATATATTCTGTCTGAGCACACTATGTGTTCATCGCCCCCAGCTTTGGCCCGCGTAAGGCCTACGTTGAGTTTTGTATTGTGTTTCTTTGGAATTGCTGTGCAAGCCACTGCACTTCTTGTTTATGGAGTGAAGCAGGATGTAGCGTGAACATATGTTTTTTCATACTGTGTACATAGCAGATGGAATAAAATATCCTGATATGGATATCCAAAAAAACCACATAATGCACAGACTTGCTTCATTTCACATGGAATAAATTGGGAATGACTATTCTGAAATTAATTGGCTTACACCACTGTTGGCATAATGTAGGTACAGTCAGATTTAGGCCAATAGTTTGTTAAATACAAAGGCATTTTCCTTAGTTTTAGATTTAAAACATCTACCAATATATTCTTTGGATATCTTCCAGCATGTAAAAGACCAAAAAAATCAATCTTGCAATACCAACTCTGAGGGCAGCCTGAGGGGAACAGACTTCATCCCTGAATATTTAGTATCTGAGGGAAGAATATAATCTCTACCACTCATTTGCTATTTTCAGACGAGAATATACTGCAAATGCTTCTTTCTTCCCCTACGCTTTGATAATAGTACTTTTAGGGATGCGTAGCAATAAAATCACGTTCAGGGGTCAGCCAAAATGCCGTGGTACCCTACTAAGACCCCGTGGATCAACTACAAACCCTACGTTTTTTCCTTCCTTAATCATGTTGGACTTGATGGTTGGACTGGATGATGTTGAAGGTCCTTTCCAACCTTAGTGATTCTGTGATGTTGGGGTTTTCAGGCATGTATTTTTTGTTCTTATTTGTAGATGGTCTGACAAAAGCTTCGGTAAGCTTTTGTAAATACCTTTTGCCCTTTGCACTCTAAAAACTATTGACTTTTTCTGTTTGGTTGGTTTTGATGTTGTTTGTTCTCTTTCTCTTCTTTTAGGTCGTAACCAACACTGCTGCCAAGTTAGTATCACTTCTATATAGTGCCAAACATTTGTGTTACGCTGTATGTGTGAAGATTTGTATTCTGGGGTAGCATGATCCCTTGTGTTCCTGCTGTGTCTGCTTGCAAGTGGAAATATTTTTTTTAAAATCTTACTGGTATGGCAAGCGTCATGGGCTGCCACTGGTGTCCAGTGGTGCTCCCTTCTAAGCACGCCACATGTTCGGCATTTCTTGGTGATGTTCTAATGCTGCAAAAGGAGTTGGCACCTGAGCTTGGTCAGTTCCTATAAACGCTTTCAGACGTTTTCGTCTCTACAGTCCAGGTTTAATTCCACCTAACTCTTTAAGTAGTCTTCGTGCCTTCAGGATTTGGGCAGCCTTATCTCTGCCTTTTTTTGTGTATTATTAATGATGTAGTTTTACCTCAACATTAAATTAATTTCCAAAGTCTCCCTCCACTAAAGTTCAAATTTAGGTTGGTGTGAGATACTGATATGGAAAAGATCTAAAAAGTAATTTACTTTAGTAAGCATATTGCCCAAACAAGAAGCAACCACTGATTTGAAAATGTGATTGATCTGCTTTATTTAGGAAAGTTCACAGAGTCCTCAGCTTTGATCTTTAGTTTTCTAAGGGCAGAGGATTGTCTCTAACTTCCCGCTTTCTGTCTCTGAACTGAGTGTTGTCCAGAAATTGCTGGAGAGACTGAGTTAAATTCAGCATAAAATAAATAATTGTTTTAGTTAAATGTCAAACTTAAACTGACAAGAGGAGGTTAGAAGTAGTAGAATACATAAAGTTGAAATAGTATTTAATGCATATAACTTACACTGATCTGGCATTCTCTGTTGATTTTAATGAGATGTGGGTGTGATGTCATGCAAAAGATGTAACTCCTTTGGAGCGATGAACTCTGGCCAATTTACACTGATAATTATTCTGTTACAATTGTCTTAGTGCTTCTAAGTCACATTATAGGGGTGTTTTTAATTCTTACTTGCTTTGGGATTTATTTTTCCTGATCCTTTTCCAGCTTGGTAGAAAAATCCTATTCGTTTTGCAGAGGTGCTCCAGCTGTCCCTAGGGTCTTACCTCTGTCACTTCGTCCTAGAGCACAGCACCCCTTACAAGCACTAATATCTTGTCTTTACTTCCAGAGTGACAAAAACTCTGCAGCTGAAAAATCTGTACCCTTTTCTCTTATTTTTATGGGAATCCTGTTAACTTCAGTGAAAGTTTTGCCTTGGTATGTGTAATGTGACTAAAACCTCTTAAAAGACGTCACTGAAACTGTTTAAATACCACAAGTGAAAGCCTCAATCACTACTGCTGCTACCGTTAGGGAAGTTGCGGCTGTTCTAAGATTACTGCCTTTTATTTTTGTAATTGATTGTGGAAACCAATTGCTTTGAACTTTATTCTTTAAAAGTGGCATATTTAACCTCTGTCATTTCATTCACACAATCTTCTCAGATCTTGGGTTTAGAATCTCTCTGACACTTCTGACAGTGTGGGGGGAAGAGAACACTAAATTCAAGATCTCGAGGACCCGTGTGTTTGTAAATATCATGTGATCATTTAGGGTATGAAAAAGAAAAGAGATACCATTGTTGAAGTAAGGCATGTGCGTGCTGAAAAGTCAAGCATGTAACAACCTGCACGTCTCTGCACCTCACTCGTCAACAGATGATGTCAGTGTAATAATAATATTGTCATAGTTGATGAATAGTTAATGGAGAGATATTTTAAATGTGAAAATGTCTTTGTAAAATCATGATTTTCACTTTCTGAATGCATAATGCAGCTTCCCAGTTCCCTCCCTTAAAACATTGATGTGTCTAACTAGAGGCTGTGGCTGTCATACAGCATGTGCATATTTCTGCCTCTGTTCCTTGAGCATGTGGCTGTTTAATGTTCTATTTTGAATGACGTGTGACTTCATCTCTCTTACTGTCCATCTTCAGTCAGGGCATCCCACCAAACAAAAGGCTGAAAACATAGTGGAATCCCCTGGCTGGGTTCAGAGGTGGCACATCACCTTGGAGAATCTCTGGAAGATTAAGTCAGACGGCTGCCAGCTTTACTTGATTTTCCTCTTTCCTCCATGCCAGGTTGAGGGTTTGGTTTTAATGCTGACCCTCTGGGGCTCACCCACGGCAGACAGGCACGCTATTGTTCCCTTGCCAGCCGGGGAAGCTGTTGTTCAGTCACACGAAAAAATTCAGCAAAAGGCTTAAGCTGATAAACTTAACAGAGTAATGGTTTTAAACCGAAAAGGAAAATTGTTCCAATTAAACGTAATTACATTTTTCAGAATTTCTCTTGTGGGGGAGATATATCCATTTCCAGCTTTTGGACTCAGTTCAAAATGAAACCTTTGCGAAATACCCGTTATTTCCCAAAGGACAGAATTCTCCATTTCGCCCAGTTTGGTAAGCATATGAAATCTATACTGCTGGCATCCTCCTGCTGCTGGCAGGACAGGAACAGCAGACTAGAGATTCATCTGATCTCCCAGAGGTTAGAGAAGAGCAGCTGCTTCCATGAGTGACAGCTGAGGTTTAGCTTGCTCATTGACACTCCAGGCAATTCTCAGTCCTAACTCTAGGACACGGACAGTGTACAACTAGGCACTACAAGGGAGCCAGCCGCTCTTCAGCTGGAGATTGACATTAAGCTGGCTTGTTCTGTTGTGATGGGAGCTTCAGTTAACTTGCTCATGGCTCAATATCTCAAATAAAAATCCGTCCTCATGGAGCCACTGGAAAATATGGCAGCTAGTCCTCCAAGTGCAGTTGTCCCGTTGACTGCAATGTAGGATATTTTGGTCTGAGTTGGAGCATGATAAATGCAACACTTATGGCTGGCTGTACAGAGATTTTGGGAAGATAAATTTGGTCTTTTGTCAGGAAAGCTTTGAAGATTAAAAGGTGCAAATACTAAATTTCACTATGATTGATAATCCAGGCAGAAAGTACTGGAGCCTTCTAAATAATAGAGGACCGAACATCTGTTCACCCCGTTGCACTTTCTAGGACTTTGTAAGACCCTTCTGAAAGAATGAATGGATGAAGTGAATAAACTGGGAATTCTGTGCAGTATGTACGCACATCCATGGGCATGCATATATACGTGTGTGTATATATGTGTTTGTATACACTTATATGTATATAAAATTTTAATATATTTAAGTATCACATTAATATTTAGGGATCTGTCATGATTTTTTATACAATGACAACTGTTTCACCTTTTTTTTCTCTTTATACATCTGTGAACCAAGACAGAAATGTCATCCATTAGTGCAGCCAGCTTTTAACTGTCTCTTGTTACTTATGTTGTCTGTCACCCTCTGACCAGGAGCTTTTGTGGTGAGATGCCATGAACAGACATGTACATTCCTCTGTTGGTGCTTTTTCTCTCACTTAACGGTCACGCCTTTCTCCTTTCTTCCCCTCCCTTCCCTGTCGAACCTCACTCTTGCATAACCCAGCACGGAGTTCACGGAGCGTTTCAACCCCAATGTCCTGAAGGACTCTGCCCTGTCTACACACAAACCCATCGAGGTGAAAGGCCTAGGCGGCAAGGCTACTATAATTCACGCCCAGTATAACACCCCGATCAGCATGTACTCCCAAGATGCTATCATGGATGCAATTGCAGGCCAGGCACAAGCCCAGGGTGGAGAATTTGCTGGGTAAGGTTATTTCCTTGTGTGGAATGCTCTTTCTCTGCATGATACATCTAATGGTCCCTACATGCATGACACGGCAGCTCTTCCTCAACTCTTTTTTTTCTGGAGTATCTTTCGTGTCAAACATACAAATCAGTCCTAGACAGTGTTTGAAAGCACTTTATCGTTTTGAAGTTAAAAGGATGGATAGTTAGAAAGTGTAACATTTCTTTTCTGGTATTCTTCCTAAAACTGGTAAAGCCCACAAAAATAGACCTAGTGCTGTGTGCTATTGGATGGCTTTTCATTTCTGATGACCATGCTTTGTAATAACTGCTGTATTATATGCATAATTCGCAAATGGGAAAGGGGGAGGGAACTTTTATTTATACGTGAAGAATGCAACATATTTATTTAGTACTGGCTACTGTTTTATTCTTCGGAATGGCGCGCTGTGCTCTCCCTAGCTTACATACCATACATGTGTCTTACACGTATCCTTTAGACTATGGCAGAATCCATTGATCTTTAATAATTCTGCTTTTCCCATGCATGTTTCTGGTAATCTTATCTGATAAACTTATCCACAGTTGTTATGACTTAACTGAAATTACATATGCGATGAGTGTAGCCAGGTTTCTCTCTTATTGGGTATCTTTCTACCCAAAATAGAACTTACCTTCTTTCCATGTGACACCAAAATATAGGTATAGCAAGGCACTTTAACATAGTTTCTTTTCAGTATGTTAGCTGCAGGCTTGTTCAAAATGTAGATGTTTTATGTATTTGCTTGTGCTCCCTTTCACCAGACATTTCTTTTTTATGTATTCTTTTTTTTTTTTTTGCACCAATATTATTCTGTTGGTCATCACAAGTGACCCTAATGATGGATCCCAAACAATACCTTTAGCTGGTTTTGACCCTGACTCAGTGAATCTCCTACAGGCTTACACCTGTAAGCAGCCTCATATTTCCAATTAGCAAAGTAGAATGAAAGAAGTTCATTCTATCCGTGTTCTCTGTAATGGTTCACATCTTTCATAGGCATGGATTATATGAGACATTTTATGATATATTGGCATTTTCTATGAAATGCTGTAATATTACATAATGCAAATGTTTTTAAATTTTACCTATTTAAATGATCAGATGGTTTTAAAGTTTCACTGCTGAGTATGTGGATCGTTTCCATTTTATAAACAGCACATTAAAAGAATCTCTCAAATGCAATTCCAATCACAGGAGCGGCTCTGCTGGACTGGAAGACTGATATCATGATCTTTTCCCACCTGTGGAAGAGATCAAAACACACTGTGTGTGGGGAGCTGAAAATGCCCTTTCTAGAAAACTCCAGAAAGGGTGAGAGAAGTCCAAGGAGTGCAGCTAGAACTGGAAGATTAGCACACTTTCCAAGGGGGTTAGGGATTTGTCTTAACATGTGGAATTATGACATAAAGAATCTGAATAGAGAGGCTTGAATCATAAATCATAAGGTGGTAATAAATTATATTAGTATATACATATGTCGTGAAAAGAGCCAAATGAAAGGATACATAGATAAAAAATAAATAGATTTTCATGGACTGTTGAGTTGTTGCACCAGTAGCAGCAAGAGCTGTGTTAAACACCACTAGCAAAAAGCTCTGTACTAACCTTTTTTCTCATTTTAAACATGGAATCCACCTATCTCATGGGTGTTTTTGAAATGAGATGATTATTTCCATTAATCCTTTTCTATCAAAGGTTCTAGTAGAACATTGTTCTTTGCAGACAACTCCATGACAGTGTTCTCCCCTGTAATGCTGCAAAAGAAGTTTTTCTGCAAGATCCACTATATAAACTACCGTTTAAGCTTTTCCTTCATTTTGGAATGTGACTCCTAAGCCTAAGGTCGACCTGGCCCCAAAAGAAACTAATGTTTCTATTCCCACTTGCAGTCAGGTGCAGGGGACTCTCCAAATCTACTGTGCTGTGAGCTACAGACTGTTTAACTTCCTTTTTTTAAACTCTTACTACTTAGTGGCTAAACAATTTTCTCAGTAGATTGTTTTATTACAATTAACACAGCATTTTTAATCTAGATGTAAAGGCAAGGTTTATGCTGATATAACAGCAGCCTATGCATTGACAGATAGTCATTTGATTAAACCTGTAACTCATTTCCTTAAGGTGTTGCTTTGACCTCTGGGATATTCTGAACTTTAATTTGCAGTGGAAACTGAGGATGTTCTTTAGTTTGCTTAGTTGATCAAGTCTGAGATACGATTATGCTTAATGCAGAAATTTGTCATATAAAAGCAGACCAAATTGTGTACTGATTCATTTTGTCTCAATCCTCTGCCTATAATTTCATTCCAGGACTTAATTACTCTTCTTTGGGCTTTTCATTTTGCCTTAGAGAGAAGCCCTGAAGCCACAAGGTGTATGTGTAAGCATACTCAGACTGCAGATCTAAAGGGCTTCTGTTCTTTTTGGCAGACAATAGCTGGAAACACTGATTACTTCTTTTATCGGTGATGAAGAGTAGACAGGCTTAAGATAAGAATGAATTTTCTAGTTTGTCCATTTGAAATCAGTGATGTTTTAACTTAGGTCAGTGAGGCCAGACTCAGGCTCATGTCACTTAGAAAATAACCCACATGTACTGAATCACCATGGAAAACACAAAGGAAAGCATATAAATTATTTATACTGCAGTTATTCAGACCTCACGCTGGAACTTAAAGGCAGAAAAATTTGCCTGGTAGAAAATGCCCTGACTTCATATCATTTCTCACCGTATGTGGCTTTGTTTCAATTGATTTTGCTATACCAAGAACCAAGAGTTGGTTGCAGTAAAACCATGCGGTCAGTACATTTCAAGTACATTTCTGTCGAACTTCCGCTAAATTCCATTAAGCAGTTTTAGCCAAATTCACAAGTCGTGTAAGTAGACATAAATCCAACAACGTTATCAGAATTAAGATCTAACAGTTCTAGTAGCAGAATCAAGAATGTGGTTGTACAAACTAAAATCTTGTGTATCATCTACAGTAAGTCTACCTGGCTGCAAAATTTAGCACTCTGCATGAACTCTTTGTTTGTTGGGTTGTTGGGGTTTTTTTACCTCTTAGAGCTTTTTTTACTACTTGAATCAGTCTAATATGCAAAGTTACACTATTTTGTTATATGTCTGTATCAGGGCTAGAACACGGCAGTGTTCCTAAGCTTTTACTTATTATCTACTTAAGTTAAATCTGAATAATGATTCCAGGGAGTGATTCACATGGTAAACCATAGTTTATAATGAACTCCAAGAAAAAAAAAAAAATCACATTGCTACTTATTCAAAAAGGTTTGACTGGCTTGCTGTAATGTTAATAACGTGTGACTTGGATGATGTTGTGAAAAAGGGGGACATTTTTTTTATTGAATCCTACTAAAATACCTTAGGCTATAATATGCAAAACCCTCAAAAGCTCTAACCCATTTGGGAAGAATTTTTTTTTCAGTAACTTCAATTTAAAGTAATATGCTTAAAGATGCATGATATTTCTGCACATACACACCCAGATGGAAAAAAAATTAAATTAAGAAGAGGTATAACAGAGGTATTAACATGGTTACGTGCATCTTTAAGCTGTCTGTAAGAATCAATGGTCACATTTAGGTTTACAAAATGCTCGTAATCAGCGGTACGCTCTATTTTACACTTCCATGCTGAGCGGCTCATATGTCCTAGTTACCCACCTACAATATAATTATGATTAAAAAAAAAAAAAAAGGCCTGTTGCATTAAAGACAAAGTTGGAAATATTCCAATGTATTGCATTAATTTAGTTCAATTTGTATGAGCATGTTTCACTCTGCTAGGGAAGGTTAATTCACCAAGCTCCATTTCCTGCCTTAATCATCTACCATGAGGATATTAGTATGTCATATTACTGCCACACTGCTGCTGTGAAATTTGTGGTCCAGCCTCTAGTGTTTTTTAACTGCCTTTGAGCTAATGGCATATCTATACATACACTTTTCAACTGCTTTTTTGTATATATGTCATAACATCAGAACAGAGCATTTCAGCTAGAGGACTTAAACAAAGGAATTTGAACTGTCCATGCCTTGCACACGGCCGTTGCCACAGCAGTACTATCTATCCAGTGGTTTGTTACCTGCTCTGCAACAGCCTGCAGCTCGAAATTTGCTATTGCACGCAGCAGTTTTTTAAGCTTCAGCAGGAGGGGATACAAAGTTAACTGTTGGCCAAAACCAGGCGGTCACCTCTGACAGTGACACGGGGCAAGGTGCTGTGTGCTTAGTCAGTACGAGGACATGGGTCTGAAGTGCCTCTGGGAACTGGAAAACGGGGTCACTTTTTGGGGAACTTCAACCAACCCTTTACAGTGACAGAACTTTTCAGTGTAGCCAAGAGTGAGCAGTGGCCGTGGAATGGTCACAAGGGGGTTGCTGACTTACTTTTGGTATTACAGATGTATGTTTGGTATTACAGGAACATCTCTGTTCCATGTAAGGACTATTTCTGCATGAAGTCAACAGAAGGCAGAACTCGCTGCTGCGCTCACTGCGCTGCCTCAGCAAGCCCTTCTGCCGTGTCTGAAGGGCCAGAAGAGGAAGACCACTGCTCTCTCTCCCATCTTCCCTCTGAAGAAGGAGGTGGCACTAATTTGTCCATTGGTGCACATAGGAGCAACGCTAGTGGAAGCCACCGATGGCACACCCTTCCCAAAATAAATAAGTCCACATTATGCCTTCCATACCTGCTAGTGTTTAGATATTGTAAAGATAGTGGTCTAGGAAACATGAGCTAAAAAAGGAGTTCGTAAATGCTGCTTGCTCCTAGAGGGCATCTTGCACACTGAGAGACTTTTTTACGTAACTTCTGTGTTTTGTGGCAGATCTTAAACTAAAGAGTCAGGTTTTTTCCTAAGCTGTGCTCCATCACGTAGGTGATTGTGCTGAATCATATAACTGAAAAATGGGGGGGGGGGAAACCCCAAACCCTGGGTTTTGTGCCCTGCTGGGTCCTCAAGAAAGTGAGTTGTTTGCATATACTGGGGGCTATGAGGAATATAAATATTCCTCTAATAAATAAAAAAAAGCATGCTCAAGAGATGGGGTGCTTTTGGGTCCATGGCATATATAAGAACACATCATGTTTCTAAGCCCCATGCAGTCTTACTTGAAGAACACGTCCCATGCTATTGCTAGGTGCAAATCCATTAAAGCAGCGTATATTATGGAGTGCTGAAGAAGAGGAGTGTGTCAGCTGGAAAATACTGGTATTTAAGGCACTACCTGGTAATATTTTTTATTACAGTGTAAGTTACTTCTGTATGTAGGATATCAGACATGCTTCTTGGCTTTTTCGTGATTCATCTCAGGCTTTCAAATCCCAAACCCAACTTCTCTGTAGATTTTCTCTGCCCAATGGTATCTTAGAGAACACTAACTTTGAGCCTGGGCCAAGGAAGCAACTTTTATAGCAGGTTACTCCTCCAGGCACTTTATAGCAGTGACTTAGTTGGACCAAATGGCTCTTAACTTTTAACAGAGCCATTTCTCAATTTTCATGAAGCTGAGCATGCTGCTTGCAAGGCTCTATACGGAATAGCATGTTAAAGCTGTACAATAAATCACTCGCTTCAAAAATAGACCTTGTATTTAGAGAAGTCATAGAGCCAAGTTACTCCAAGCACACATCATCCCCTCAGCATGTATCTCCGCAGCTCTGTTAATATTTAACTGTATGCTATGCAGAAGTTACTTTTGCAGGGAAAAAAAGCTATTAAGTTACTAAGTCTGTTTCTAGCTTGCATGATAAATCCAAGAGAGGTAAGCTCACCTGCTACAGAGCTTCGTAGCTTTGACTTTAGGTGTGTGAAGTTGGAAGTTTCTTCCTGGATATATCACTTTGCAAGGTGACTAGAGACGTTGTAGGACTGTGGGATACATTCGGTTGTTAAAGATTTCAGATACAAAATATGTATGCAAGTCTAGACTTCTTATGCTTCACATATGTAGTAGACAATGAACCCAGAGTTATGGCAGCTGGAAGTTTAATTCAGAGTTTGGCAAAGAATAATCACCTCTAGAAAAAAGCTATAAAAGCCTACCACGTTATTTTTACAAGAAAATATGTTTTTTTCACTACATGTTACTCTAACCTCTGTAAGCTTGTGGCTGCATTGGCTGAAGAATCATGAACAGACATTTCCAAGCATTTTCACACTGATTTGAATATGCAGATTTGAATGGTAACAGGCCTTTTCAAAGACAGAATGAGCCATAATATTCTTAATTCACATAAAATGGACCTATATTTTTTTTTAAAAAGTGGTCTTTTCAAAGCCATGTTTGGATTGCTGTACTCTGCATGAGAAGCTCTAAGACCAGAGAGAGGTTGAGATGTGCTGTTTCACAGTGTTTCACTTTCTGAATTGCAGTGCCCTTCCTATTAAAGATCCTCATGTAGACAGTGCCTCTCCGGTGTATCAGGCTGTGCTTAAAACTCAGAACAAGCCTGAAGATGAAACCGAAGACTGGAGTCGCCGTTCTGCCAATCTGCAGTCTAGGTCTTTCCGCATCCTTGCCCAGATGACTGGAACAGAGTACAGTAAGTTGAATATCAAAACACTTCCCTCATCCTGATTTTAGATTCATGTCTTTATTTTCTTACCTCATTATTAGCAACCTATACTCAAGGAATACTGATGTTCAGCTTGCAGTCATTGTCAGTGAGGGCTAGGATCAGACAACCCTGGATGTAACTTGAGGGAACGAGGAAATCAAAGTGTTCACTCTCACCTTATGCTTTATGAAGAAAATTCTTTGATCTGCCAGGGGTCTCACCATAAAAGTGTAACAGACATACAGTAAAAGAGCATTTGTGACCCCGTACTTCTTCTTACTGACAAATCAAATCTCAGTAGGGTAATCTTTCATTTTCCAGCAGCCTAGACGTACAAAGCTGTCCATTCATTAGACAACTTATGTCTCCTGTAAGAGCCTTTTATAAAAGTGACTTCTGGAGGTCAAAACAACTCATGGAACACCATTTGTATTGAACTGATGGTTCTATCAGCTCTGTTATCTAAACTTAGACCTGCTGTGAATGTCATGGGAGCTTGAACTTTGTTGCTTGTTGCCTATGGAAATGTTTTTCTGACCACCTGGTACTAACCTCAGAGCTTGTTTCTGATATAGAGAGAAGTAAGTTCAGGGACGTTTCCCTCACCAGGGGAAAATACTTAGTATTTCCTCCTCATAGGAATCTGCTGCTGCCTCTCATGCTTTCCTACAGAACAGCAGGCCTTCCCTGTAGAATCACTGCCTACAGCTGTGAAACATTGATAATAAATGAACGAGGAGGTAGTTGTGATAGCTACTTTCCTACTAGCATCCTTCTTCCCAGCTCTAGGGAGCTGCTCTTCATGCTGTTTTTACAAAATCCGCTGCTGCAAAGTCAGCATGCATGCACCTTTAGATAGGCTTTTGATATGTTTCTAAAGAACTTGTAATTTCATCATAAAGCCTAGTCTTCCTTTAACTGAAACATTTTTTGCCTGCAGTGCAAGATCCAGATGAAGAAGCCCTGAGGAGGTCAAGGTAGGCAACTCCTTGTGAAAAATATGGCGCGCTCTTGCTGATAACCATACGATGTTTTAAACCAGTATTAATATGAATGTACATTATTATTTTTTTGTCTCAAATTATTCTAATATGTTTACTTAAAAAATCACTAAAATTAAAATGCTGTCAGTGAGAGGCATTTGAATGAAAAGGATAACAAATGGGCATGTTTTTAGGAAAGTCAGTGCAAGATTCCTGAAGCGTGTGTTCAAATCTGAAAGCTCTCTGCGCATGCAACTTTTGTGTACTTTACTGGGTGTACGACTGCTATGAGTTCCTACACCAAGCCCTGTGTAACTACTTGATTGTGTAACTGGATGAAAATATATAATGTTGTGATAGCACTGAAATCTGTGAGCAATTTATTTGGATGACCCTATGATTGACATTTGATTCTCCTGAAATGATACAGTAACGGAGTTGTTTCCACCCATATCCATAATCATTTCCTTATGTTTTGTTTGGAATAAATACAACCCAAATTTGTCAAATATGGAAGCACAGGACTGCTTTTGCTAGTGGATAAATGTATCTGTTTCATAGCACCTACCAAAAACACTGGAAAAAGTGGGTATATTCAGTGATACAATAGGGAATTAAAGATTTATCATGATCACTTTATGTTGTCCTGCGTAGCCAGGAAATCCATTTCTTAGAGAGTCTTATGCTGAGCTTAAAAACTGCAGTTGAATTGGAGCATCCTGCATGCAAGCCTGATTTTCTGTTTTGCATACTTTAAATCCCTGTATCAGGTTAGCTACTCTAAGCTGCTGGCGGGGCTTAGGGTGCATTTGAAATGCAATCTTCTTTCTTTCTTCTTCTTTTTTGACTGCCATGTGGCTTCTATAAACGTTCTGAGCTTTTGATCACAGTGCAAGTTACAAGGGTTGAATCTGTGAGAAAGATGTCTGTCATCTTCCCTGTGAAAATACAAGTATACTTTCAGTTTATGTTTGCTATAAACCTTCCACTGCAGTTCATCAAAGCTCTTAGCAAGGTGCTCAAACATCAGGCTTGACATTACATCCCTCATGGTTTTATTTCTTCCCTCAAATGCGCAAGCCTAATTCTTATTAAATGTATTGTGCATAATCCTTATAATGATGGGATTTAAAGTGCTGTGCTGAACTTAACAGTCCCCCATATACACCTGAGAGTAATATGTTGTTTTAAAGAAATAAACTTTATGGCTGTAATCTATGGCTTTGGAAAGTACTAGATATTGGAAACTTAATGTGCTATCAGATGTTGAAAATAATTCTCAACACGTGTGCATTGCACATTCTATTCAATGTAACTTAAAGTACATTACTATATCCACTGTGCTTTGCACATTTTCTGCCAATTTGAGGTATCACTGTTACCCTTTTTTTTCATAAGGACAGTTATGCTTATGAGTCTTTGTAGGCACAGCTGTATTACCTAAAGAGGTTTAAGGGCATTCATCGATAGTAGAGGCAGAAGGCAACATATACTAAGTAGGTATACAGGTACAGTGCAATTGGCACGAGCTCTGGTGCAAGGAATGAAATGGGGTCTCCTTCCTACCTACCTGATAGTGCTTGCCCCATCTTGGTGGCTTGGTACCTACCTCAGATGTTGCACACACTCCACTGCAGATTTGGTAGCAAGAGCCCTGGTCATGCATGGCATCCATCATATGCTACTCTTCTGGGCCTGTTGGGCCCCTTCTGTTTCATCTTTTGGAAAGGCCCCTGCCACTTCTGATTATGTAAAGGATGGAAGGACCTATGTCAGGGGCACAGAATCCATACTTTAACTCCACTCTTCCAGCACAGCAATGGAGTAGCAACTCCTCTTCAGTATCTACTCCAGCCAGCTGTACAACCACACCTTTCTCTAGGCCCCCAGTTTGGGAGCACCTGGAAGGCTTGCTGGGCTCCTGAAAGCAAAAGGTTTCCATGGAACTGTGGGACCTGGGTTTTGCCAGATTCACTGTTGCATTAATCCCACACTGTGCTGGCGTTCTGGAAAGACCCTTCATGTTCCAAAACTTGGAGTGCCAGAGATTTCACAGTGTGGGGAATTTTGTTCTCAGGGCATGCTGTGAGCGATCTCTCTCTGGTGCTTTCTCCTGTCTTTTCGTGTCAGGTCTTCAGTGCCGTAAGCAAGAACTGCATGAGATGGTGATCAGGTTTCTTCCAAACTCTTGGGGAAGAAAATTGAAAAAAATTTTTTTTAAAATGTAGCATATTTTTGGCAGAACTGTTTTACATAAAAATAATGACTTCTACATCGCTGCTTCTAACTGCATGACATACGCTCTGAACAGAATCCATACAGCTTGGGAATTTTCAGGTGGCAGAACATTCCTTTAATATTAATGAACACATTGCATGGCTGTCCTTTGCTCATGCTACTGCTATTTTGAAGAGAGATTATAACTTGCTATGAAAACTTTCCATTGCTGTTGCGATGATTGTTACAGAATATTTTCCGGAAAGATGGTATCCATTTCAAGCCAGACAGTTGTTTCTGAATACCTTTTCCTTGAATGGAGTGGTATATCTTTAAAGCAGTAAGGGAATTCTTAAATTTCCTGGAAGATCCACTGTAGCTAGCATGCTCCAGTGTAACTTGAAAAAACGCCATCATGGAGTTTCAGCATTTCAGCTAGGAATACTTTATATCTTTTTAATTACTTAAAAGTGTGGAAGATCATTTGAGAAGTCATACATCAAGAGTGCTTTAGGAGTGTTACTTGCATGACACTGTGTTATTAGGAACAGAAGATTTAGAAATATCACTGAATCTGTTGGCATTTACTCTGTTTATTGTTTTGTGCTTTCTTCAGCCTGAGGAGTAAAACCAGCCCAGTCTGTTCATTTCTGTTTGGCTGGTTTCACTCTCAAGTTCTGCTGCGTTAACACAATTGTCTTGCATTTTGTGTGTAAATAACGAGGGGGAAATTACCTTGTTTGCAATGAATCACACACGTTTTGCAAATAACATTTTATTTTCCATTCTGTTTGATATACTTCTCCTTGACTCTGCTCTCATCCCACATCCTCCTCCTTCCCCTTCTCATTTCCAAAACCTGAATTTAAACTATAGAACATCTAGAAAAGATTAAATCCTGAGAGGTACTGAACATTGCTTATAACTTGCTTGAGTAACCCAGCCTGCAGTCAAAGGCAGCTAGGGGTGCTCGCAGGAGGTGGCCAATACTTCATGGGACTGTGCTTTGAAAATCCCACATTATTCTGCTTTTTGGCCCAAATGACCGGAAATATTTATGCAAATGTCAACATTTATACTCACGCTGAGAAAAGCTATAGAAAAGCACTGCTGAAACTTGTGGCTGATGATCCTCACGGAGGAAAGACAGCAGGATATATATAGGCTGACCTAGGTATTACAGAATGGAAAATAGTTGCATTAATTTTGCTCTTGTATGGAGTTAACTTTCACTGACTGCTCAGCTGGGGGGAGGGAGAGAAAAGCTGAGAGAATCTGCTGGCAGGAAAACAATGGGATTACACTGCATTTCTAGCAAAAGCAGCCCTGCATTACTAAGTACAAGTCAAAGAATATGAAATTATATCAAGTTACTTCTCAGAAATGAACAACTGCAAAACCTTTCATATACAGTCCAAAAAGGATCATCCAGCCTTCTTTGCGCTGATTTGAAAGCTGAGGAAAAAATCCAAATAAACTGCCATTGCCCTAGTTATAAGGCAGGGGAGTGGTAGCCATGGTCCCTAACCCCTTTCTTTCTCCCTCCTTTCTTTCTTCTCTGTGTGTGTGTCTCTCTCTCCCCCCTCTGTCTCTGTCTTTCTCTCTCTCTCTCTCTCTCTCTCTTCATGCCACAGGGAAAGGTTTGAAACGGAACGTAACAGCCCACGCTTTGCCAAATTGCGCAACTGGCATCACGGCCTATCAGCGCAAATCCTTAATGTTAAAAGTTAAAAGCCCACACCTAGCAGGCAAATAGACGAGACAGAGAATTACAGGAAAAAAAATTAACTGCTGTCCTGAGTTAGAGCCTAAGAGTGTCACACACACAGGAAAGACTTACTGCTAGGGCCTTTCTCTGAGTGCCTGTCTTCTGTAGATTTCTGTTGTTAGCCTGGTATCCATTCGCTGTCACCAAAAGTAAAAATAATGATACAACCCGGTTCATGTTCTTCATTATAAAGTAGATTAGCTTCTGTCCTTTGCTATATCAAATGTACCTTCAGTATACAGGACAACATCACTATTGTACTCTCTTGACTTTAATTCGAGAAGAAAATGAGAGGGAAGTTATTGACAGTAATACTTAGGAGGAAGAGGAATGACACTTTTACTGAGTTTTACTGCTGTAAAGATAATTAAGTAGGAGAAAGAAAGATGAAAAGGAAAACTGAGCCTGGCCTAGACTTTGCTAAACGTACAACACGCTTAGGTTGCATGGTTGAATTATGCCATTTGAAATAAGATAATAGCAATGTGAAGTTATATTTCTTCAATATATTATACTGGTAGAAGTAATTTGCTGAAACTATTGCTGCAAGTTTTCTGTTGGAAACCTGAATTTGTCATATGAAAGCTAGAGATAGCTGTAGTTACTCGGGTTCTGTGAGGAAATGACATTTTGCTAGAGGTGACTTAAGAGTAAGAAGAATATATAGTACTACTGGTACACTGAAGTTTTTAAAAACATCTTTTAAGTTTTAAGCAATATGTAAGTTTTAAGGAATATGTTGCCCATTCTGTATTGCTCTTGCTTTGACCCACATTTTTTTCTGTATATAGCAGCATGCTTTATCTGAAATAAAAGGTTTTAAAACTAAAACAATTATGTGCCTGTTTTACACAGTACTTTATTCTGTTTTAAAACAATAACTCCTCAACTGATTATTGAAAGAACTTTTCTTCCCACAATAGAAAACTTGGTCAAAAAGCTTTCCCCTATTAACTTGAAGGTCAGTAAGAATTATAGGTATCTCCATATTATAGATATCTCCATATCT